GTGCGCCACCATGACTGGCTAAATTTTTTAATTTTTATTTTTTAGACACGGGGGTCTCACTACATTGCCCAGGCTAGTCTCGAACTCCTGGACTCAAGTGATACTCCCACCTCAGCCTCCCAAAGTGCTGGGATTATAGACTTGAGCCACGGCGCCAGCTCCCACTCCACTTTTTAAAAAATCTCACTTTGGTGGGCTTGGGGAGGAAAGGGGAGCTGGCGGGGCAAGCGGCGCGCACGGCTGAAGCTCACAGCACAGGGCGCTGCAGACGCAGCAGGGTCAGCCCGGGCCCCGGGACAGACGCTGCCAGAGACGTTCAGAGAAAGGACCCGCGAGGGTTCCGTGAGGAGGGTACCTGGGCCCTGAGGGGAGAGTAACTGAATTTCATCTTGCAGATCCATTTGTACTGTTTTAAAAATTAGTTTTTTTGTCTAGGTGCCTAAGTTGCTTTTTCAACAAACCACCCACGTGCTGTCCTCACACCCGGTTACTCTGGACAGTGGACAGTGGACGAGAGCCGGCGCCCATGCTGGCCCCGGGCGGAGGCCTGAGGGTCGGGAGGGGACTCAGCGTCCCCTGCAGGGAGGGGGTTACGGGGAATCGTGTTTTCTTCATAGTTTTCTGTTTAAGTTTTAAAAACCCAACAGAGGAGAAAACAAAACCATTTGCGGAGTACGGTGTGTCTAAAAGGTCCTGACGGCCAGCAGAGGAAGCTGCCGTGTCTCTCATCTGAGCGGAGGCTCTGCGGCCCCCGGGACAGCGAGGCCCCGACACAGCCCCGGTCTTCTAGGAGGCTGTAGCTTTTCTAGAAACAGGAATGGGTCAAAATTTTAACATGTACTAGACCTATGTTTTTTGAAAAATTCTGCTTACTGATCTATTTTATTCACAGATTATTAATTAACTTTATGTATGACAAAGAAGATTCCTTGGCCGTGCTAAGCTGATCTCGTAACACGCAGCCAACTGTAGTCAGTTAGTGGTTTAGTGTTGAGGGTTAACAGCTGTCGGACCCTGCCGGGATTCTCAGAATCACTTTGTACTTTAAACAATTACACAGAGCATCATTTTCCTGCTTTTAGAATTGTTTGTTTCTGCCTTTAAATTTAGCACGTCTTTCTGCCTTCTGGACTACTTCGTCTCTCTTCCAGACTCCTGATTTAAATACCGCACGTCCTTCCTTGCTGTTAAGCAATTTGCCGAAGCCTGCGGGCCCCTGGGATGCCCCGGTGGAGCCTTCTGCACTTGGACATGCCAGTTCTCACCGACGTCTCCTTTCGGTGAGCAAAGGTGGCATCTCTACACCCGCGCACCCAGTGGCCCGGCGGAGACTGTCCCGCGAGAGCCGCACCTACCTTTCCCGCACTCGGCGCACAGGTACTCGCGGATGTTGTCGTGCACGCGCATGTGCTCCTTGAGCATGTCCTTCCGGGCAAAGGACTTCCCGCACTGCTCACAGGCGTGGCTCTTCACACCTAAAACACATGTCAGAACCTGAGCCCCGAAATCCCTACCTGTGGGGTCCACACGAAGGCAGCGCCTGGGAGAGGACTCGACCGCAGCAGGAGGTGCAGTGACAAGGTGGGTCACCTCTTCGGGACCCTCTGGGGGGCTTGGGCATGAGAAGGTCTCTGAGGCCCTGGAAGGGGTAATAGAGGAGGGGGTGCTCCGAGTAGTAGGGCAGGGGGGACAGAAGCAGCTGGAGAAAGAGCAGAAGGCATGGGGGGCGCTACGCATGGAGACCCCCCTCCACCGCCCGCACCAGCCCCACGCGCCCGCAGCTACCTGTGTGGATGAGTTTGTGGCGCTCCAGGTTCCCGATGCTGTTGAAGATCCGCCCGCAGATTTCGCAGGGGTGGATGTACCTGAAACCAGAGACCCCCCTCAGAGTGGTGCACGGCCGTGGGGGCGTCAGCATCAAGGGTGCCTTCCCAAGCAAGCACCCTACTGGCAACGGTGAGGCAAACGGTGCTACGTGGATGACACAAGAAGCAAACATTTCAGCCTCTGTTAGGGGCTGAACTGTGACCCCACCGCCCAGCGATCTGACGACGTCCCAACCCACAGCTCTGCAGAGCCGGGCTGCGTCTGGAGACGGGTCTTTGCAGAGGTAATTAAACTGAAACGCGGTCTCAGGGCTGGGCCCTAGTCCATCCCAAGAGGAGACTGGGACACAGACACACACAGGGAGAAGTTGCCGTCTGCAAGCCCAGGGCAGAGGCCTCAGAGGAACCCGCTGGCACCCGGACCCTGGACTTCCGGCCTCCAGGGCTGAGCGAAGATAAATGCCTGTGGTTTAAGCCGCCCCGTCTGTGCTACGTCAGGGCGGCCCCGGGAGTCTAATCGGCTTGCAGCCGGGACGGTTCACTCGCTCGCGCGCCCTCGGCGCTCATTATGGGCTGCGTGCCAGATGTGGCCCGGCATTCATACACCCAATTACCGTGGGGAGAGAGGGTTCCTGGTCGTCTGTGGGGAGGCCCAGAACCCTGCTGTTTCCCTGTCACGTGACCTGTGTGTGCTGTGAGTCCAGCCATGGGGACACCAGAAAGCTCAGATCGACAGTGCCCAAGCCTCCCCGCAGCCCGGCCCGGCCCCAGGGCACAGAACTTGCTCGGGGCTTTGGACGGCTCTGGGTCCTCGCAGGGAACCGTGTGCCCTCCCTTCCGGCATGACGCCCCGGGGGGCTCACTTCTGCACGTTGGGGTCCGGCAGGTTCTCGCGGTGGATGACCATGTGGGCGTGGTAGGTGGCCTTCAGCGCGAAGCGCCGGTTGCAGATGCTGCAGTCGTGGCCCTTCTCCTTGTGCACGTCCATGATGTGCTTCAGGTAGTCCTTCCCCCGGCCGAAGGTGAGCTGCGGGCGCGACACGGACAATCGGTCCCTGGTCTCTTAGCTAACTAGGGTGTCACACACCAGGCTCGTCACTCTGGCCGGAGAAAGGGACTCCTGGGGCCTTGACGGGGAGCCGAGGTTTCCCCCAAGTGGTGGAGCCCCACGCAGGAGATGGGTCTCCTTGGAAACAAAGCACCTCCCTTTCAGCAAGCCCCTTCCCTGCACGGGGGTCCTCGTGAGGGGCCTCCGGTCTGGGGGGGGTGGGTGGGAGAGGAGCCCCGGCCTGCAGCCCGCACAGCCGACCTTCCTGGGGACTGACCCGCCCCGGCCCCACACTGCACGTGTGGACACGCACCAGGCCAAGGGGCAGGTTCCTGGGGTGGGGGGGCTGTGAGACCACATGGACCACCCCTCCGCCCTGAGGTGACACGGGGTGGCCTTCCCAGGCACGTCTGAGCGCCCGGCCTGCGCTCGGCTCCCCAGGCCCTGTGCAGGGGTGGCCGCTCCCAGTCTGCACGGCGGTGCCGCCCTGCAGTTGCAAGCATCCTTCCCAGACGACCCCTGCGTCTGAGGGCGGGACGGTCACACACCTGACACCTTTTGCAGCTGTACTTGTGAGGCTCCGAGTCTGCGCTCTCGTCAGAGTTGTCGTCGTTCTCCTCCGAGGAGATCCCAATCTTGCCGATGAACTCCTCCCTCTGGTGGTCGTCCATCAGCGCGATGTCCTGGAAGACAGCCGCGATTCCCGATTTCTAAGGTGTGGCGGAAGCCTCGTTATTTATAGCACAGGGGCAATTAATAATTCACCTCGCTGGAGAAGAAAACGCCTCTCTTGATGCACAGGACGCCCTAACGAGCTTGTCCCTCGTGGGACAGGTGTGGGCCGGCCCCCCACCAGCTGGTCCTGGGCCACCCCACTCCGGAACCACCCACTCTCTGCACTTCCGTCTGCTTCTCTCACGCCCAGCAAGATCCCAGCCCGGGCGGTGCCCTGGCCCTGCGGGGAAGTCGCTCGAGCTGGCCGGCGCTGACTCGCAGGTCTGGACGCTGCGCTTTACCCGGGCCCACAGCGCCACTGTCCCTTCCTCAGCTTCTCCTGCCCTTCGTCACACCCTAGTCCTCGCTGCTCCCTCAAGCACCCACTCAACTCCTTGCTTTCCTCCAGGGCGGGGGGAAAGAGAGTGACGCCGCCCCAATTCTTGTTCCTCCCCGTGGGGGCACCCGGTGTGGAGGACTTTACTCCCGGCCCTGCAGCAGGGCCGCACACGGCGCAGTGATCGTCATCAGAGCTCGCGCTGAACAGACCGGATGGGGCCAGACTGCACCTGTTTCAGACACTGCTGCGCTCTGAATGTGTGTGTCCCCAGGTGACGGTGTTAAGAGGGGAGGCCTCTGGGAGGTGACCAGGCCTCACGAGAGCCCTCGCGAAGTGAATGGATCAGTGCCTTCATAGAAGGGACCCCAGGGAGACCCCTCGCCCTTTCCCTGCTGTGATGACCTGGCAGGAAGGCGAAGCAGCCTTCCCCGGACACGGATCTGCCGGTGCCTTGACCTTGGACCTCCGGCCTCCGGAACGGTGAGAAGCAAACGCCTGCTGCTTACAAGCCCCCCGTCCCTGGGACTGTTATAGCAGCCCGAGCTAAGACAGATGCTGGCCCAGGGCCTCTGTGCCGAGGGCAAAGGTGGCGTGCGATCGACACCTTGAAGTGGACGTGGATGTGGTCCCTGAGCACGTCCACGCGGAAGAACTTGCGGCCGCAGATCTCGCAGGTGTACTTCTTGTCGCCATGGGTCAGCAGGTGCTTGTTCATGTTGCTCCTGCAGGAGAATACCTGCGGGCGGAAGAGCGGCGCGGTGAGGGGTTTATGGCGTTTCGGGACACGAAGGAGGCTGTCACCATCGGGTTCGGGGAAGGAAGAGTACACAGGAGTCAGCTGCCTCCTTTGTCAGGGAAGCCTAAACTGAAGATGAGAAATGGCTGGAAAGAGACAAGACTTCAGCTACCAAAACATACATGCTATTCGCTACCTGCCTCGACCCTTGATGAGAATGCACAGAACGAAACACCTGAACGCCAGGCACAGAGCTGGGCGGTTCCACACGCACGATCTCCCAGCAGCGTGGGAGGTGTGTGGGACGGGCTCTCCCCGAGGGCCAGGGACAGTCGACGTGGGGCACGGGCTTCGTCCGCCTCTGCCCCGTGCACAACCAGGCCCGGCCATCTCGGCCCATGCACACCCCCCATTCCACCTGCTCCGCCCCACCCCGGCCTCGCCTGCCCCCAAACCCGCAGCCTGGGGTTGGGGCCCAATGTGGGCCCTCAGGCCACACTGCCCTGCTGACCCGTCTGCTTTGGCCTGCTTTGTGGTTTGAAAAAAATCAGGAAATTTCATACAAAAACACGTATTTCCGTTTTCTCTTGAAAAGGTCAGAAGATCTGGCAATGCTGCCACGTGCCAGCAGGCAGGGCAGCTGGGCCAGTCCAGCTGGCCATCCGCGGGGCCCTGCGCTCCCCAGCGCTGAGGCACATGGGCGTGTGACATCTCACCAAAACACCAGCACCAGGCGGCTCCTGTGAACTGTGCTTGGCTGTGACAGATTCACCAGTGTCCCTCCTCTTCCAAAGCCACATGCCAGACCTGCTGGGGCGCAGGGCCCACGTGGGAGCCTCTCTCCAAACCTTTGCTCCACAGCACATGGATTCCAGGAGGGACACGCGCTCTAGTCCTCCTAGGACTCAGCTGACATCTTACAAACACGTCAACCACGAGGGCTGGGAGACAGCACTTCCAGTGACCATCAAGGAACTCATTTGCAGAGAATGAGACCATTTTTACACGGCAGCCTGGCGTGGCAGTGACAGTGACGTGAGGGAAAGCGTGGTCTGAGCACCATGTGCGTCAGCACCACGGACATGGCCCGCGGGGTCTCCTGGGACGGCGGTGTGGCGCTGGCTGTTCAGGATCCAGCATCTCCGCCAAGCAAGCGGTGTCTGAATCCTGAGCCAACACTAGGCCGGCCCCAGAGGCCCTGGGACGGACGTGTCACACAGGCAACGTCACGCCTCGCTCACTTGGCATCTGCTACGCCTGCCGTGGGAGCTCCGTAACCACGGGACCGGCCACGCTCCAACGCAGGAAGCGCTCCCCGGTCTCAGAGCGGGGAGACCAGAGCTGACAGGCAAAACAGCCACCCGGACCTCCCACCTCCTCATGCACTGTGCCTGCACCCTCCCAAAGGACATCTCAAAGGTGCCACGTAGGACAGCACGAGCCGTGGCGTGGCTCAGGTGAACAATTACGGCAAAAGGGGGAAAAGGCTGTCAAGGAAAAATACACCTTTCTCAGCTCATTCGCTGGACACCCATTTCAGGTGCCGAGGAGATCAGAACGACTAATGTGCAAAGGGTGGACGCTTCAGTGTCCTGAGCACCCGTCGTTACCCAAAAAATCTTCCCCCAACACTCTATGGGCACAGCTCTGCGTCTTAACGTAAGAAAACAACGTGCGTTCCTTTCTGTCCCAGTCTCCTGCACCAACGGTGAGTTACCTTGCCACACACCGGACATCCGGAAGGTTCCTTCTTGTAGCGGACCAGGTTCTCCCCACCGGCCTCCAAGTCCTCTCTCTTCACCCGCCGCACTCCTGAAATCCCCAAGCCCGCAGGCAAAAGCGTGAGCACGCGGAACACGGAGGGTCAATCGGATGCTTGTTCAGCCAGGGTCCTTCCCAGCCGGACGGGAGGACAGCGCTGCCCAGGTGGAGGGACAGTGACCGTGTGAGCGATGTCACCTGTACACTGCTGCTCCCAAAGGGGCTCCCAGGAGGGAGGGGACTTTGTGACGGTTATTGCATCCGGAACACTTGGAAAGAGGAGGGCATGGAGTGTTTTAAATCCCACAGAGCGGGAGCTGCAGCGAGCCCCCGTGGAGAGGTGTTCTCACTCCACCCAAGGGCTCCAGGCCACGTTACGGTCCTTCCAGACGGCTGGAAGTAGGCAGATGTTTTTGTTTAAAAGACACGAATACTCATCCCTTATAAATTAAATCAGTCAAATCAGGATCAGGGCAAAAAGTCAGCTGGTAAAATCTTTATGGTTTTAAGGCATATTGTTCAAAACTGGGGTCAAAACAGATTTTAGGAGTTCGTGTGAAACAGGTAACCTGAACGAGAGGGAAACGCACCTCTGGGGCTCTCCCCGCACTGCTGACCGATTTGAGGACGCTCCCGCCGCGCTGGGCACCCACGCGGAGCCACAGACTTGCCGTCCACCTGGCAAGCTGGACGCGGGCCACGCGGGCCCTTCCCCAAAGGCTCCGGTGGCACCAGCGGGACAGACAGCGGGCGTCTAGGGAGGGCCTAGACTAAGCTCCAGCGTGAAGGGAAAACCGTGAAACAGTCACAGCTGAGTTCATTCCCACGGACGGCTTGAGTTATGTGGACGCAGCGTCACAGCGGACAGCCGACCCCGTGCAACCACAGCAACGGCATTTAGGAGCACGTGCTCTGCTCTGCGCCAGCGCTGTTCGAGGGGCTTCCTGAGCAGGGTCTGGTTCAACCCTCACCCCAACCCCAGGGGGTCGGGCATGATTCCTGTCTCCCCTGTACAGGTGGGGAAACTGAGGCACGGTGGCTTGCTGAAGGCTGCCTGGTCACTACGTGGAGACCTGAGTGTGCCACTCAAGGAATCACAAAGAAACAAGTTGTGCGTCTTTATGAACCAACATGAAGAAGAGTCAGGTAAACTAAGTAACGTGCAAAAAATGATGTAGGATGCAGTCTTGCTATTTATTTTCTATTTATTTTGAGACAGGGTCTCACTCTGTTGCCCTGGCTGGAGTGCAGTGGCATGATCATGGCTCACTGCAGCCTAACTCCTGGGCTCAAGTGACCCTCCTGCCTCAGCCCCCTGAGTAACCGGGACCACAGGTGCAAGACAGCACATCCAGCTAATTTTTTCTTAATTTTTGTAGAAATGGGGTCTCACTATGTTGCCCAGGCTGGTCTTGAACTACTGGTCTTAAGCAATCCTCCTGCCTCAGCATCCCAAAGTGCTGGGATTGCAGGTATGAGCCCCTGCGTCTGGCCCAGTCTTGTTTTTTTAAAACAGGCACAATAATACCAGTGTGTACATATTTGTATGGAGACAGCTCTACTTTACATGTGACTTTGTTAGCTCACGTTTTCTCTTCAACAAGCATAAAGCTTCATTTGTAATTCTCTGTTAACATGATTTTTTCTGAATTTTTATAAGAAGGAGTTTTGGTCGGTGATTTACGAAGGGCTGGTCAGCAAAAGGGCAGCTGCTCTTTCAGCTGCTTTCCCCACCGTCACACTGAAACGTTTTCACAGGACCTGTGTCTTTGAAAAACACTTTTCAGGAGCACAATGCTCAATCCTAGAACAGCCTGGCTTTCTTAACTCCTTCCCGCTGCAGCACATTCGGGCGTCCCCAGCCCTCTCCGCCTGCACACAGTGCTACTGACACCGTGTCCTGGGCTCTCTGCGACCGGGGCAGGTTCCCAGGGAGTATTATGTGCTCGATGGGGGCCGCTTTCAGGCAGCAGAGCGGAGGGGCCAAATGCTTCCCAGGGGTTGCGCCAGTGCCCCGGCCAGCCCGCCCTCCTCCCCAGGGCAGGCGCGCTCACCTTCCAGGTGCCTCCGCTGGTGGTCCAGCATGACGTCCTTGCGGTAGAACATCTTGTTGCAGACTTCACAAGCAAACTTCTTGTCCCCGTGCTTCTTCTTGTGCTTGGAGAGGTTACTGTTGGTGGAGAAGAATCTGAAACACATCTCACATTGGAACGTCTTGTCATCTGTCCAGAGAGCAAACAAACACAGCGATTTTGAGGTGAATGACATGTAACGCAGGCGGGCGCGTGTGGCCTCCGCAGTGGCGATGAAGCACGGGGTAGGGCGAGGGTGCGTGAGGGCGGCGTGGCCAGGAATGGACATCACTGCAAGTCACGTGCCACCTGCCCCGAGCGCGTGACGCAGCAGGGAATCCACGTGCTCCGGTGGCTTCTTCTCTACTCGAAAAGCAAGCACCGTGCTCACCTTTCGTCACCGAGCACTGGCCGCCCTCCAGGGCCCCTCACCCTCCATCGAGACCCCGGCTGCAGTCCCGCCCCTCCTCCCCAACACCTGCCTTTCGCCGGCCCCTCCCCACGGTGCACCAGCGTGCCCAAATTTCCCACACCTTTCAACCTGAGCGCCTCGTTCCTAGGTCCCCCTTTAGTAGATGCACACTGGACACACACCAAACACACGCACTCATACTACACACGCACACACACCACACACAAATGTGCACACTCCACAGAGCCTCCAGAAACAGCCATCCTGTGCCGCAGGCCTCGGCTCTAGCCCCTCCTCAAAGACAGCCAGTCACCCTCTGTTTCTGCCCCACGCAGGACCCAACCGCACCCCACCATAGCATCAACCCCAGGTCGCCTCAGCCCGGCCCCCTCATCCCCTGGAACCCCTCTCCTCCTTCCCGCCAGCCCCACCTGCCCAGCAGAGCTGCTCTCTCTCCTGTGCCTCGGACACGGGTGCCACCGCACTGCCCGCAGTGGCACAGGTGCCGTCTCCCTCTCCAGAGCGAGGCCACCGGCACAGACTGTGCCATGGTCAGTGCTGGGCCCCTGGGCTCTAGCCCATCGACCGGCTCCCACACCCAGGAAACGTTTGCCAAATACACAAATCTCTGACACCGCATGGAAAGGTGCCATTTCCACAATGACTCCAACCAGCGTGCCCCTCTTTGCTGCACAACGGAGTCACTGGGAATCTGAGGGTCCACTGCCCAGGCCTTCCCAGCCCCAGCACTGTGGACATGTCGGGCCGGACGCTTCTCTCTGGAGGGGCCGCCCTGGGCACGGGGGTGTCCAGCAGCGTCCCTGGCCTCCGCCCACTAGACGCCAGAAGCGTCCCCTGCCCCGAGCCAGCTGCCACAACCAGATGTCCCCAGACACTGCCAATGTCCCCTGGGGGCAGAATCCTCCCTGCTCCAGGTTGAGAGCCACTGGGCAGGACTAATGAACTCGATTCTGGGGCAGGACGCGGGCCTCAGTAGGTCTTTGCCTTCACTCGGGAGATTCCAGCACGCAGCCCGGGGGGTCAGGGAATCAGACACCCTCAACACGAAGAAAGTCAGACGCCTAATCTCTTCCCACGTGGGCAGCAGAGACACAGGCAGGGTCATCTGCTTGGTCGCTCGGCCACCTCCAGCACCTGGGACCAAGACAGCAGGCGGCAGTGGGGAGGCCACCTCTGCTCACTGGGCGCTACACCCAGGACAGGACAGGACAGGGCAGGGCGGGGTGGCGCCTGCACACAGCTCCGACCACAGCAGGGCAGGAGGCCGGGCAGAGCAGACCTGGCCCTGCTCCCACCCCGGGGCGCAACCTTGACTCAGAGCCTTCCTCACCTGGCCCCGAGAAGGAGCTTGTGAAAGACGCTAACCTGCCCCTGGTCGGAAGCATTACCGGCACAGTCCACCACCCTCGCCATTTCCTCTGGCCTAGCATTCGAAGGCTCTGGCCCTCTCTGCACAATCCCACTGTACGCATCACGCGTGCGCTCCGCGTGTGCTAGGCACACTTGCGATGCGGACACCCCACGGTTACTTCAATGCCAACATGATCTGCCACCCAGGTCAACCACAACTTACTTCATCCTTTTCGATACTGCAGATCACTTAGCGATGCGATCTTTTTCCTTCTGCTACATTGGCATGAATGCTTAGGAATGGGACCTCCGGAGTGAAGGGCCCGGTGAAGGGCGATGCCTTACAGCACTGTCCCATCATCACCAAAGACACTCTCAACCTGGGCCTCCCAATCGGCACGGGGGAGCCTCCCTCCCAGACAGGTACTGAACAGCACAGGTGAGCCTCCCTCCTGGCCAGGCGCTAATAGCACAGGTGAGCCTCCCACCTGGACAGGTACTAACAGCACAGGTGAGCCTTCCTCCTGGACAGGTACTAACAGCACAGGTGAGCCTCCCTCCTGGATAGGCACTAACAGCACAGGTGAGCCTCCCTCCTGGACAGGCGCTAATAGCACAGGTGAGCCTCCCACCCGGACAGGTACTAACGGCACAGGTGAGCCTCCCTCCTGGACAGGTACTGAACAGCACAGGTGAGCCTCCCTCCTGGACAGGCACTAACAGCACAGGTGAGCCTCCCTCCTGGATAGGCACTAACAGCACAGGTGAGCCTCTCTCCTGGCCAGGTGCTAATAGTGCTAATAGCCTTCCACCGGGACAGGTACTGAACAGCACAGGTGGGCCTCCCTCCTGGCTAGGCGCTAAAAGCACAGGTGAGCCTCCCACCTGGACAGGTACTGAACAGCACAGGTGGGCCTCCCTCCTGGCCAGGTGCTAATAGCACAGGTGAGCCTCCCACCTGGACAGGTACTGAACAGCACAGGTGGGCCTCCCTCCTGGCCAGGCGCTAAAAGCACAGGTGAGCCTCCCACCTGGACAGGTACTGAACAGCACAGGTGGGCCTCCCTCCTGGCCAGGCGGGCCCACTGCTCCGAGGGCTTGGCAGCCGTAGAAGGCGGCGCTGCTGCTCTTGGGCTTCAGTTTTCTCCCTCACAAGCCCTCTTGGCTCATGGACAGAGAACCCACTTCACACTGCTCCCTGTGGCTCGGAGGTGGCCTCTGCCCGGTGGAAGCAGAGCTGTCCTGGACTCTGTCGGCTGAGGGTGGCTCCTCCTGCCGTGGCTATTCTCATGTCACCAGCTCAGGAATCTAGGCAGGCGCAGGGTCCCAGCAACAACCCTTCTCCCATCAATGATCCTGCTACTGCCGAGGTCTGTGTTTATGTTTTAACAAGCGGAGCAAGCGAGAACAAACGCATATTGGGATCTGAGGCCGGGCCTGGGGCACACGTCACCTGGAGACAGCAGAGTGGGTTTCTGGGGGAGCCAAGCCGCAGCGGAGGGTGACCGTGACGGTCCGTGTCCTGCCCGAGGGCCTAGTGTGAGCCACGGCTACTCCCCAGAGCAGCACTCGTGGTCGCCCACCGAGCAGAACACTCAAACACGTTACATCAGCACCTTGCCATGCCACGGGGACAAAAACAAGGCAGGTCCTGCGGAGGGAGCCTGAGAAAAACCCACCAGACTACGAATTTTAAAGCTTTTCTCCACATTACAATTTCTGGGTTTAATGGTCTACGGAGGATACACATTCTAACTTCAGTACCATAAAAAAGGACCACCACAGGCAGGCGACACGGCAAATGCCTCCGTTTCAAGGCTTGGCCTTCATTTCAACCCAAACTTCTAACCTTTGAAATTAGAGCCTCTTAGAAGAGAAAGTGTGGCACAATTCACCACCACTTTGGTGGCTCTACAGAAGTAAAAAAGACAGGCCAGCAGAGGGGCGCAGGCCTGTAATCCTAGCACTTTGTAGGCCACGGCGGGGGCTCTGGACCGGCCTCAGCAACACAGCAAGACCCCGTCTCTACGAAAAGAAAATACAAACATGAGCTGGGCATGGTAGTGCGTGCCTGTAGTCCCAGGGAGGCTGAAGCAGGAGGATTGCTTGAGGCTACAGTGAGCTATGATGACGTCACTGCACTCTACCCGGGTGACAGAGCCAGACCCTGTCTCTAAAAAAAATATAAATGAAGATGAACATCTGGCTTAACAGAACTTCTAGCTGACGCGTAGCAGCTGCTGCTCTGGCCGCTTCTATTACTGTTTCATTTGTGTCCAGAGAAATAGTTAAAAACAACAAGAGCCAATTACTGTCCCTCAGCCGCAAGTCTGCCTCCCAAGCACCCCAGACACTGGCGACACCCTCAGGAATCCGCTGCCCTCACCTGCTGCTCTCCCGCACAACCTCAGGGACCACCGGGGAGGATAACAGATTAAGGTTCCTCTGTGCGGCTGAGGCTGCATCGAATGCGAACAGTCGGGTGCCTGTCCCCAGATTTCCTGCAAACACTTGGGAGGGGAGGGCTTAGAATGCAGGTGGTGCGGAGCACTGGAAGCTCATCCAGAAGCTTCCGGAAGCCACGCCATGCCTTGGACATGGAGCCTTCGGAGCAGCTAAAGCTCAGGTGGAACGTGACTGGTGCCTGCCACCTGGGCAGCCCTGCCCGGGGGAGGAAGGCACCATGGACGCTTCCAAACAGCAGCCCTCAGAGCCAAACCGACCAGGCAGAGGGCCCCAGCAGGTGCCGGGGAGCAGCCCCTCACACAGCCTCGGGGCAGTGAGAGTCCAGGGACGCTGGTCCATGGTTCTCCAGAGGCACTTCAACAAGATCCAGCACAGAGAGGCAAGTGCCGGACACGGAGCGGGTCGGCAAGATCGGGTGGGTGTCGAAGGCTGGCCTGCAGGTCCCTAGGCTGGCTGCCGCTGGCCACCCCCACGCCCCGGCTCTGCTCCGAGTCCTAGAGAGAGGGAGGACACCAAGGCAACTGCGACTCTTCCCTCCGCCCTCTCTGGGACTGCCAACCGCGTGGGCCCCGCTGGGCGCTAGAAGGGAGGCGTGGTCCCCAGCCCCCAGAGGGTAGCACGTCGCCACCACAGGCCACACGGAGAACTGCAGCCGGGCATCATAGGACGCTCCCGCCGGGCTGTGGCCTCCATGCCGTGCATGCGTATTTCTAACTGGGCCTGAGAGATGTGGCCTGAGACGCCCCCCGGGCCCAGCGGTTCGGCCTGAGAGATGTGGCCTGAGATGCCCCCCCGGGCCCAGCGGTCCCTCCGCCGAGGCCAGTCCAGGCACGGCCAGCTTCCAGACTCACACGACACCTCACTTCTGGAGACCAGGGCACAGATGCAAGCTCAGAACAAAACAGCATGGGAGGAAGAGACGACGCCCGCCCTGGGGACGCAGGACAGACGGACGAAGGAGAGCTCACGGTCAAGGCAGAGCCTCGCTCCTCAGGCCACTGTCCCACCTTTCATTCCTGGCGCGGTGCCAGAACACACCGTGCACTGCTGCGCCCCGTTCCCAGCAAGCACGGACCCCGCGCTTCACAACGTCCCAAACGCGGCCGCAGACGGCTTTGGGTGACTAATGTAGGGAGTAAACTCGTCCCTCTGACACGGAAAACTTCTAGCTATGTCTTTAGATTGGTAACAACTGCGTTGCAGCAAAAGGAACAGAAGGCAGTGTCGGAAGTGAGGTTGTTTACTCATTTGAACGATCTTCACTTCTGCCCACAGGTCCACGGCCCGTCACGTGGGACAATAGGGAGGCCAGACCCATGTCGCCTCACCTGTCCTGCAGTTGTGAAACTCCAGCGCGCTCTCAATGCGGAAGGTCTTCTCGCACGTGCCACAGCGGTGTCTGTACTCGCTGTCAACCTGGTCAAAGGGACATGCCGTTAGTGAGAGCCCCCGAGGCAGAGTCCACAGAGACTGGCCCCCTCAGGTGCCACCCGAGCGACCCTACGGGAGTGTCTGTCGCAGCTCTTTCCTCTGCTCTCTCCTGCTCTATTTGGGACCACGAAGAACGTGCACGCCGCCCCACTGCCCTGGGGCGTCCCCTTCTCAGGTAACCGCGCTCCAGACCTGCCCACCCTCCCAACTCCCCGTCAACGCCTCTTCTCCTACGCAGCGGAGGCAACCCCGGGTCGCGACACCCACCTCGTTCCTGCTGTGCTTGTAAGAAACATGCTGCTTCAGACTCTCCTTGCGGCTGAACAGCTTTGCGCATTCCTCACACTTGAACAGCTTGTCACCTGCAGAACCGACAGAAAGCGGCTTCACCACTTGGAGCGCGCACTGAGAAAGCACGCGCCATCTCTGAAACGCGAAGTTCTCTGCCAAGGTCTGCGGAGCCCTCCCGCTCCCCGTGTCGGAAGGGACAGCCCGCCGGAGAGGCCAGCGCGGCTGCCGCCCCTCACCAGCGCGGCTGGCCGATGAGGACCCGGTGGCGGGGGACACCCGCCCCCTCCCGCCACGTCCTCACCGTGCGAGCGCACGTGCCGGCTCAGGTTGCTGCTGTTCTGGAAGACCTTGCTGCAGATGCTGCACTGGTAAACCCGCTTGTGCTCCCCGAGCTGCTTGATGAGCTTCCGCCGGATGCCGTGCCTGCCCGACAGGATCAAGCTGCGCTTGAGGGAGATGGTGCTGTTCTGGTGATGGGCGAACCTGCCCGGGGAGGAGCAAATTGGTAAAGACGGGCAGGAAACTGGGTCGCTGGGGAAGAGCGTTCAGGTTACAATCCTCTTGGAAACAGCCTCCTTCCAAAACTGCCCAGCTAAAGCCACGCCTCTGTGCGAGGAAGGCGGGAACTGCTGTGGGGGCCCCAGCCTCCAGGGCATCTTCTGGGGGGGCGACACCTTGAAGACTGGACAGCATCAGTCAGTCTGTTCTGCACAGCCACACACCGTGGTTTGTGGCCATGGGAAAGCTTGGAGGTGACTCTGTCTCAACTAGAACAACATCTGTGTTCTGTTTTTCTCACTTGCTCTTGACTCTCTGTTTTATATTTTATCTGAATCTGATTTTTTAAAAATTTCTTCCCCCTGTTGGATGTGTTTTGATGGGGAGCCTCCCGGATCCTCTGGGCAAAGAGACAGTATGAACAGGCAGAGAGGTCCCGGCATTTCTCATGCCACTTTGGCCTCAGCTCCGGTACTTGCCGGCGCACCAGGCACGCTCTGCAACTCTGGGGATGCTCCGAAAAGGGCCAAAGATAAAAAAGGACCACCAGCACACTCAACTTCGGGGCGAAAATTTACCTAAGAATAATAACTAAAACACAAATATCTTCCTTGTTCAAAAAAAAAGAAAAAGAAAGAGAAACACAGAGCGAGGTGTTAAATGTACTGAAATTGAATAAAAAGCTGTTATCGCAGCAGCATTCTTCACAGTCGTCCAAGGTAGGAGCAGCCCAAGCGTCCCCCAGTGACGTGGATGAACCTGCAGGACGTTGCGGTCAGTGAAACAGGCCAGTCACAACAGGACAAACACCGTGTGGTCCCACTCCTGCGGGGTTCCCAGAGTGGTCACATTCGCAGAGACTGGCGGCAGAGTAGGGGGCGCCAGGGGCTGGGGAGGGACGGGGAGTCAGCGTTTCATGGGGACAGGGTTTCGGTTTGGGAAGATGAGAAAGTTCTGGAGACGGACATTGTGTTGATGGCTGCACAACAGTGTGCGTGCACTTAATGCCGCTGAACTGTGCACTTAAACGTAGTTAAAATGGTAAATTTTATGTCACATATATTTTATCACAATAAATAAAATTTTCTGACAGCTGTGCTAACAGTGGATGCACCGTCACGCTCCTGAGCTCCAGAACATTCCTGCTGCCTCCCAAGCACGTCTCCGTCCCTCTCATCGGGAGGCGCCTCCCCTCCGGAACGCACCAGCTGCCCCAGCACCGTCCGCCCACGGGACGGCCCGAGCGCCAGCAGGACTCACTTTGGCACGGGGCTGGCGTCGCCGGCGCTGCTGGCCAGCTTCCCCAGGACCAGCTCCATTATCCGCTCGTCCGGCGTCGCGCTCGCAGGTTCGTCCGGGGGGACCTCGGTAATGATCTCTGCCACTTGTTCTGTGCGAAGGGACAGGACAAGCCACGTCACCAGCAGAGAAGGCGACAGACACAGCCAAACCACAGACACGCTGCCGTGGGGGCTGTAGCCGGGCCACAGCAGCACAAGACCGTTACGGTTTACACGGGAAAGGAAACCTGGCGGTATTCTGGGATCCACATATTTCCTAGTATACAGGGAAGAAAAATGCGTTTCTCATCCCAAACTGAAGTTATAACTTGTGATTCTTTTTTAAAACCACATCACAACATTCCCCCAATTCTCTGCACCAACCAGAAATATTCTGCATATAGAGCAGAATCTTCTAACTTGTTAAAAATCAGTTCTGACCGAGATTTAGAAACATTCATTTTTATAATCAGGTACGCTATCTTGAGGACGGCAAGTGACGAACAGTGAAGTAGCCACTTAACAAGCTTTCCGCCCTCCCCAGCGGGGAGGGGATCTGGCTGAAGACCCAGGGCCAGAAGGGGAAGCTGAGACTAGAGAACAAGGATTCCTTCTCACTCTCAACAGAGAAATCCGGGACATCCCATACAGCAAAAAGAAGAACCGTCTGGAGTCAGTAAGGAAGGTGGGGAAGGAGCCTCGCATCTTGTCCTCACGTGCGAGGACCGGGCATCCCGCGCGTCGGGGGCTTGGACGGGGCTGCGTGAGGACCGCAGGGGCTGCACACCCTAGATGGCGGGTCAAACGTCCCTTCCAACTCAACCGAGGACACTGCACGATCAAGGAACGAACTCTAGCCAGGGCCCGGAACAAATGCCCATCCACGGGTCACGAGCGAGCGAGCCCTGGGGCGTCCGCACGTGGACTGGTGACTGCTAGGTGATCAAGAAGGAGCCACTGGTAACACCACATGGACGATCTCGGCCACCGTGTGCTGCACACAGGGAGCCCACACAGAGTTCCGTTCACGAGAAATTCCAGGAAGGGTGAGAGTAATTTGTGCAGAAGACCTCAGGAAAGTGGCTGGGGAGACGGAAATGTTCTCTGCCTGACACACAGGTGAGCCGTTTGTCCACGTGTGGTGTGCAATGTAGTAGGTGCAGCTTGCACTTCAATAGAGCTGACTGAGACAAAGGAGAAGGCACAGCCTCCCCCTTCCCTGTGACCTCTCTACACTGAGTTTTCCCACCTGGCACCAAGGTGACCTGGTCTTAGGCTCCTTCCCCCTGCCCTTCTGGCCCCTGGGCATCAAGAAGGCTGTGCCCCGCAGGAAACTCACCCCAGGACCGTCCCTCACCTGCCGGCTCCTTGTCCTCAACGATGACTAGAGGCTGCTCGGTTTTGGACGCTTTGGGTTTTCTCCCCCTTCGAGGCTTTTTCTTCTGTTCTTTGGTGGCCCCAACGCTCTCATTCCCGGGCACGGCAGGGGGGTCCCCCCGGGGTGCCTCTGGCTCCTTCTCGGGCGACACCTCGCTCGGGTTGCCTGGAGCAAGGCTCTTGGCTTGTTCCAAGTGAGCCAGGAGATGCTCTGCAGGGAGGACACGCGGATGCACGATGGTCAGGAGCCTGATTCCCGCCCACGCCCCGGCCCCACCTCTACTCCCCATTTCTGTTTGTTTTTAACTTTGTTTGTTAATAGTGCAGCCTCTGTATAGGTAAATGAACATTATTTCCACTGTTTTCGAAAGTAAAAACGGTTCCACTGCACAAACATGACTACTATTTTAAAAAAGCAAATCGGGTGATAAAAGCAGGGTAGGTTTCCTGTGGGGACAGTTTTGGGAATGGTAAAAGCAGACACACATGTACGTTTGCAACTAAAAACCTGGGGAGGATATAGCAAAATACTAAAGCATTTCTCTCCAGATGGTGACATTATAGGCAATTTCTATTTTCTTCTTTAAGCTTATTTATATTTTCTAATTTTTCTGCAATGACTATGTGCTACATTTACTTTAAAATGCACCTTCAAAGAGGAATATTAAAAAATATTCAACTCATGGTAAACAAAATTTCCTTTAAAAACGCTGCATGAAAGCAGAAAAGCTTTGCTTTATTTTTAATCAAAGAACGCCTTGGAGACCTCCCAAGAAAAGATAATCGGAAGACACAGAGCAAACGGGCAGGCAGGGCTGGGTACCAAGTCCAGAGATGGACCAGCTCCCTGACGGAAGATGGGCAGGGCCCGCCAAGCCGGATGCGGGGCGCCCGCAAGCAGGAGGGAGACGCAGCCATGAGACAACGTGACCAGGACGCACAGACAGAGGCACCTTCGTGCAAATCTGGGCCTAGGACTGATTCTTCCCGTTGTAAATCGCAACGGACCCAACATGGGCATTAAGGATCAAGTGGCTGTTATTCTTCGTTTGTTCACTATTTACAGACACCGTGCCGGGCGAGTGCTCAAGGAGCCAGGGCTAGTGAGGGAAAGAAAATTAAAAAGCAAACACAGCAAAACGTGACAAGCCATCAGCAGAACCAGCTAACGGTGAGCACATTTGGCCAAAAATAGAAGGAAATGCTGCGGCTCCCCAACTCTCATTGCACTGCTGAGTTTAAAAGAAGGAAAGCAAGATCCCTC